TTGTGTGTCTTTCCTGGTCTCTCTCGCTCCACGGATGATGCAGGCTGTCATGGCGAGTGACTTTGCGATTGCACAGTTCAAATTTCTGGAGAGACTTTTGCTGGTGCATGGGGGGTGGTGTTACAAGCGCATAAGTCGCATGGTCAGTATGCAGTTATGAAGGGTACAGCACACTAAGTATCAGTGTGTGGTGTGCTACCATCACTCCTTGTTTGCCTGCTTATCGTCTTGATCAATTCGTCAGTTCGGTTGCACCTTGCTTATCTCGCTTTGTGTTGTTTGTCTGTCTCTCTGTTTCTGTTGAGCGCAGCCGCTTGTCATCGTGTCCTGCTCCTTCGACTGTTCCGACTTGTTTGCCTTTTTTTTTGTTGTTTGTCTTGCCTTTGGTTTGTCCGGGGTGTAGCAGCTGAGTTTGGTCGCCCGGTCGTCTGATGCGTTTTGATCTTTGGCTGTTGTGCTGCTCCGCCCCCTTTGGGACTTGAACCTGGGAAGATAAGGGATGCATTAGGGTTTGGCCTTTTTTTTTTCAGCCTTATGAAGACTGGTTCTGCTTCGAACATGGAGTAGGTATATTATCATTCTATTACGCCCTTTCAACTGAGCTGCGTTCTGCATTCGGCAATAGAACGCCTGGTCATTTTCGCTGCATCTAGACGGAAACTTGCCCCAAAAACAGCTATAATGACTGGGCATTGTATTCAGGTGATGGAAGTAGGTATAGCTAGAGTTCGTTTATACCACTCAAGTCAGGAAAGTTGCACCAGATACAGATGCATCTAGCCTGAAAGTTGCACCAAGTACAGCTATAATGACTGGGCGTTCTGCATTCGTCATGCAGCGCTGTACGAGGAGGTTGCTGGACGTTGACTTTTAGGTATGCATAGCGATACATTGTATCTTTCAACTCAGCTGCGTTCTGCATTGGGCGTGTAGCAGCGTTACTCGAGATTGCATGACTACCATCTTCATCTGAATAGAACGCCCTGTCATTATTGCTGTGTATGATCTGCAAGTTGCATCAAATACAGCTATAATGACCGGGCGTTCTATTCGGGTGAAGACGGTACGGGAGATGTATATACCGTTGAGCTCGGCAGCCTTCATCATTCAAAATGGAGGACTGTAAGGTTCCTCTGTCGCACGATGCAGGCTGCGGGTTCGAGTCCCTGCTCGCTCGAACGAGTGCCCGCGATCGCAATCCGCCATACTGGACTCCTGCGCATTTGGATCCCCGGTTGGGTACCCCACGGGGTGACGGTCGCAAGGCTGTGTAGATGTTGTATGGGGGGTCCCACCCGTCGAGTCGAGCGTCCTGGTGGCTGTGCTTACAACATACACAGTTGGGAGGGAGGGAGGGTCGCTGAGGGGCTGGGTACCATTGGGAGTCTCCGGCCTTGGAATGCCCGGCCGCTCTGCCCTGGGTGTGTCGTGGGAGTGTGATTTATAGCAGTGGCCATCTGACGGCCAGGGCCTGCCTCTATACCTCAGCCTGCAGAACCCCTTTAACCGCATCAGAAGAGAGAGGGGGGAGAAAGGGTATATACTGTTGAGCTGAGAGGTCTCCAGCACTCAGTATGCAAGACAGTCCAGCTTGAGTGTTTTCTGCTGCTCCAAGTGTCGTGGGCCTGTTTCCCCGCCCCTTTAGTGTTTTCCCCGCTGCAAGCCTCCATGTCGTGGCCACAGGTAAGTACCAGCCCTTCGGGCCTCCCGCACGGTCAAGTACCCTTGCCGGTCACACACGCGCTCAAACCGATAAGCACTCAGACAGGCATGCACACCACCAAGCATGCGCACACTCAGACTTTGAAAACTCAGCAAGCAACCGGGAATTTCAGCAAGCCATACATTCCATTGGCAAAACTCAGAAATCAGCTGTTTGTCTCAGTCCGAGTTTGGCAGGCAGGTCCTTACAGAGATGTTTTAGTAGGCAAATTAACCCCTAGAGAACCGGGAGAATCTTTACGTCTTCCAGAGGGGGAAAAAGATTGTTGCATGTGATATTTGGAATTACAGCTTCAGAGGTCTCCAGCCCTCAGTATTCTAGACTGCTGTGGTCAAAGGACGTGGGGTAGAGAGAAGGGAGAGAGAGGTATAGAGTTCAGCTCAGCGCCGTTTGGCATCCAGTATGAAGTGCAATTTGCGGTCCACGGTACTTTCATTGCCTTTTTGAATTTGGCGGGGCTGTTTCTTTTTGCGAGGCCACTGCCTCAATGAGCCCCATAAGGCCCCATTTTGCAGCCCGTCGACCGGCCTAAGTGAAGGCAGGCTCGACGAGGCCCTCAGGGCCCTATTCCGGGCACCACGCAACTCAGGGAAATTCAGGCAGTTGCGCAGCACCAGTTGGTTGAGTGAACCCAGGCCCTGGGCCGCCTGTGTGAATGTATGAGAAGCAGGCCCTGGKCTGGATACGGGTACTGGGCCAAACACAGGCCAAAGGCAKTTGGGCACATGCAACCACCTCAGGCCCAAGGCCTGTTCTCGTCGTGCTGGGCCTCAGGCTACCGGGGCCTACTGGAAGCTTCCTGGGACTGGACGCAGGCAGGCCACTTCGATATAGCAAARGGCCTGCCTCCGCATTCGGCATTCGGGTGCTGGCTGCATGCTGCGCAAGCGCTGCTGCGCTATTTGCTGGCTGGCGCCTACGCTCTCACGGGCGAACAGGGAAGGAGCACGCAGCCTTAGCCGAGCTGCGCTGCTGTAAGCTGGGTGAGGCGCAGGGTGGTCCTTGGGTGCTAGTGGCATCTGTGTGTTGGGGAACGAGGTTGTGAGTGCAGCGAGAGACATACCTGGTGCTGGAAGCGTGCGACATTGGTCGCCATGCTCGTACTTCGGGAAAGCTGTTGACGTCATCTTTCGGCATCGTAGTATAGGCTAGATAGGACCTGCCACATGTAGTCTGGGCGCCGAGCGCCAGACAGGATATCAACTCTTGTTCTTCGTTGATGATGATGGGACCATTTCAGCATTGTCAATTATGAACTCTTGGTGTGTTCTTATTTGATGAATCTCGTGATGCAATTCTGCTGTTGGTTCGAGGTCACGACTATCTGGACTCGTATGTATGATGCTGTTTGATTGCTGAAGTTCGCTATTGCTCATCTTCCTTGCAATTTGGTATCGGAGCTGTGATACGTTTGCGCTCATCTGGCGCTTGTCTTCTGCCTTATGCGGTACATACATGCGATCTGCTTGGCGAGTTTGGCCGTAAGTGGTGTGTAGTGAGGAGGGTGGAGACAAGTGTAGTGGCGACCCAGGAGGTGAGGGGATCGCCAGGAAGGCTACGTGGGGGTAATGTGCTCTGGACAGTGTGATGAGAACTCTCTAATGTGCGATTGATGCTGAGGTGGAACGGCGAGATAATGCTGGTTGTGCCGATGCAGTGACTGGTCATCGCAATCGCCATTTGGTCATCTGGTGAGATTATCTCTGTGGTTGGGGGCAGCAATTTGAGGTACGTTGCTCTTAACCTTATCTACCCTCTTCGACACTTCTTGCCATGAGGTTGTGTGTTCCTTCTTGAGAGTCCTCTCATTGTGAGGTGTCGAGTGCGCTCAACCTTGAGAGTCGGCAATGTTCACGTGGAGCATCTGGGAGAAGATGGGCGGAGCTTTCTGAAGGGCCCTGGACGAAGCACTGGGTCACGGTCACCATGCCAACCCACAGGGAGTAGAGCACGCATGCCTTGCTGCTTGTCCTTTGTTCGGCTTGCTGCGCTGTTAGATGGGTACTGATGGGCAGGCCAGCCCTTAAGGGAGACAAGACCGGGCGTCTTTAAATAAGCACTGGAAGGGGAACCATTGGCTGTGATCGTCGTCCAGCTGCGACGTAAAAGAATTCCTGGAGTCACTTGGGGGCGGACGTTAAATTGCCTCTGGATCAGCCAATGGTTGTAAGGCTCGCTGCACGCGAGGATAATCCAGTGCAGGGCTGGCCAGCTCAGCAGATTACTCGGGGCACAGGGGTGGGCCGGACACACACCTTTAGACACACAACGCCTTCGGATTGCTCAGATACGCTGAACGTCAAGTGATACTCAGGGGAACTAAGGGAGGGGTAAATTCCAGGTGATAAGTTCGAGAAAATTCCATGCTGTCCTATCCACACAAATAATTCTATTTTTATGTTTTGATTAGTTAGGTGTACAGCCATTGACATCTGATAGACAGCATTAGTTAGAACGGCTTCTTGTTCATAATGCTTTTGTTTGCGGACTAGTCAAACTAAAAATAGTTGTATTTGTAGGAATCTGACTTACCTGTTGACCCGAATGTAAAGTCTCCGAAATAGTCACCAGTTAATTGGTCTGTGCACTATGCTGCGGTAGGCACCTAGAGTGCATTAGTGCAGATTGTGTACAGGGCGGTAGCTTATGAGCGATAGGGAGGAACAGCCACCAGACGACCGGATCTTGCGATCGGCAAGGCGCCCAGTAGCCCACTTGGCATTAGGACCAGAGGGCGACAAACATCTGTTCCGCCAGCTTAGGGAGAGGCAGCAGCAGCAGCGGAGGGCTAGAGCGGCAGAGGCTAGCAGAGCACTTGTGAGTGAGGCCGCAGCTTCAGAAGCCATGGCTACCGCAGCGCAGCAGTCTACTCAGGCCGGTAGTTCAGGGTCTGTTGGGTCAACGGTTGCTCAGACCCAGAGTCAGTCCACTGGCGTCATGGTGAGCCAGCCACTGGTGTTAACTCCCGATGAGATCGCCATACAAGAAGCAGCATTGCAGGAGGCACAACTACAGAAGGCGTTAGGAGATATAAAAGCGGAGAAAGATAGAATGATCAGAACAAGAGCCAGGATGCAACGTAGACAAGCGAACGTTAATGAGTTAGAGGAGATGGACCTGACGCACGTAACCGATGATGTGAGGATCATCCGGTCTGTCCTGCTGAATGTAGTGGAGATGCAGGACCAGCAAACAACCATCCTTCAGGATATCCAGCAAAGTCTGGCGCGAGCACCAGCATCGTCACCAATGTACGGGCCTGGTGCCTGGCCCGTTGTACATCCTCCTCCTTATGTCCCACCGGTGACTGGGCTATCCCCATATGTAGCTCCATCATTGGTAGTGATCGTTTCCCTGGGCATGCCGCTTTCAGGAGGGGTATCAGCAGGGACTGGTTTACAGGTTCCTGTACAGACAGTGTACACCCCATCTCCGTTGCAGGTTGCAATCACCAAGCAGCCTGCTGTCTCGCAGCCTGTGCAGCCGCAGAGCACACAGCCCCAGCAGCTAGCACAGCAACCTGTGTCACAGGGTCCACAGCCCGGAGTGATACAGGGACCGGGACAAACACAGTGGGTTCCAAAGACGGTCATCGCCGCTTCGAAACCCTTCACAGGGGATAAGAAAGGCGAAGACCTCGACACATGGTTGAGGTCAGTGCCAGTCTATGTCAGGTGTAAACTTACCTTGCCCCACGAAGAAGTGCTTGTGGCTGCTTCCTACCTAGAGGGTAGTGCAGCAAGATGGTTGAGTGGTTTAGTGCAGCTCCAGGGGTATGGTCATGACTTCCGCGCTTGGGCGGTCACCTAGAAATTGGAGGACTTCCTGAAAAAGGTGGAGGAAAGGTGGCACGATCCTCAGGAGGCCCAAAGGGCCACTGACGCGATCTTGACACTGCACACACGGCAGTTTAAGTCGGTAAGGGAAGCCACCGACACTATTGAGCGTCTGATCTGTGTCCCAGGGGTGCGCTATGAACCCCAGGTTTCACTTACCTCGTAGCTGAGATGCTTCTCTTTGCCTCTCAGGAACCAATTGGCAAGTCAGGCCAACATAAATATGCACAACTTTCCTTCGTTTAGCAAGATGGCCCTAGACCTTGAGGCGAAGATAGGGCATGCACAAGCACCGACTACGGATGGGAGGAAGAAGACACTGCCTCCCAACTGGAAGGCGAAGGGCCGCTTAATGTTTGTCGATAACGATGGTTCTACTATCGAAGTAGACGAACACTTCCAGGAAGGAGTAGGTTCACAGGCGGGCAGCGTAGAAGCTTCGGAGGGTGGAGTAGTCGCTGCTGTAGCTCAAAAAGGTAAGGCGACCGGTAGACGCCGTGGAGGTTCCCGGTCTAGGAGTCAAGTTGACCCCAATGCTCCTACATGGGAGAAAGCGGGTCTCACAGAGGACGTGTGGAGAGATCATTATTCACGGCAGGCCTGTATTCGTTGTGGCCAATATGGCCATAACCAGTTCAAGTGCCGCAATAAGAAGGTGACCGATAAGATCCCGCCTACGATGGGGTAGGTGTTGGGATCCTCCCATCCCGTTGGTAGCAACGTGGCTAGTTCTTCTGGCAGTGCTCCGGGAAACACGTCGGGCCAATAGGAATACTAATTGTTCCTGCTAGGGTCGAGGTGGTGGAGACACCCTCACCATCTCGAGAGATGGCCCAAGCTATTGACTCCAGTGTCGTCCCGCAAACACGTTCCGACCCATGGAGCCTCTGTTTGATGAATGTGTTTGAGTCCTTAGAGGAGCTAGAGGTGGAGTGGTGTAGATCAGACCCGCTAGCTTCTTGGACGGTCCTAGTCAAAGCCCCTAAGGGTGAGATGTTCGTCAACGAGGTTGTCATTGGTGGCCGCAAGGCTGGGGCCTATTGTGACACTTGCTCGACAAGGGACTTTATTAGTCGCGCGTGCGTTGAGAGGCTTCGTTTACAGGGGCGAGTGCAGCGCCTGAGTCGACCTGTGGAGTTGACCTGTGCCAACGAACAGCGCATGGTAGTCAATGACTACCTCCAAGATGTTGAGTGTTGTTTCCCGTATGCGGGAGGGGACTTGAGACATTGCGTCTCGTTCCTAGTGAGCGATGATCTCCCCATGGACATGTTGTTAGGCATGTACTACCTCTCTGTGGCACAACCTCAGTTTGACTGGGACCGAAAAGTGGTCAAACACACTTTGCCAGGTGGAGGGACCGCCAGATTGCACAAGTTCAAAGCTAGTAGTCTGATCGAGTCCCATGGATGCATGTGTGCGGCCGCATTCTATAACTATTATAAGCAAAATCTGGAGGAGGGTATGTACTTGGTTTATGTCTCTGCTGCAGGCGAGCCGATGAACATGCCGCCGGAGATAGAGGGAGTAGTTGCCAAGTACCCTGATCTATTTGAAGAGCCGACTGGGGTTGTAGAGAGGGAGGTCGTCCACGCGATAAAGATTATCCCAGGGTCTAGCATCCCGAAGGGTAGGATCTATCGGATGTCTCCAGGCGAGCTCGATGAGCTTCGCCGACAGCTCAAGGAACTCGTAGAGAAGGGTTGGATCCGGCCGAGTGCCTCTCCTTATGGATCTCCAGTACTATTCGTACCTAAGAAGGAGGGTACACTTATGATGTGCATTGACTATAGGGGCCTCAATGTCATCATTGTAAGGAACAGAGAACCCCTACCGCGCATCGATGATCTGTTAGATAGAGTGCAAGGGTGTTGGTACTTCAGTAAGATAAATCTGAAGTCCGGGTACCATCAGATTGCAATCCGGCCCGAGGATCAACACAAAACCGCTTTTCAGACCAGGTACGGTCTGTACGAGTTTGTGGTGATGCCTTTCGGCGTTTGCAGTGCTCCTGGCACCTTTCAACACGCTATGAATCGGATATTCCATGACTACTTGGATAAGTTTGTCATTGTGTACCTTGATGACGTACTTATTTTTAGTAAGACTGTTGAGGAGCACGTTGCACAGTTGGACAAAGTCCCTAGTTTCCTGCGTCAGCACAAGTTCAAGATTAACGGTGAGAAGTGCGAGTTTGGCCGCACCCGTGTCTTGTACTTGGGTCATGAGATTTCCGCGGAAGGGTTGAAGCCCGATGACGCGAAGGTGGCCAGGATTCGTGACTGGCCGCGTCCTCAGTCTGTGACTGAGATGAGATCATTCTTAGGGATGACCGGCTACTATCGCACCTTCGTGGAGAACTATAGCATAGTTGCTGCCCCTTTGACTGATCTTACCCGACTTGACACCCCATGGGAGTGGACTGAGAGATGCGAGGCTGCTTTCAGCCATTTGAAGCATGCGTTGATGCATTACGAAGTCTTGAAACTTCCTGATCCTGATAAGCCATTTATAGTAACTACGGATGCTAGCCAATATGGCATAGGCGCCGTACTTGCACAACAGGAGGGGAAAAAGTTGAGGCCAGCAGAGTACATGTCCAAAAAGATGCCCTCTCAGAAGTTGGCTAAGTCCACCTATGAGAAGGAACTCTATGCGGTGTACAAGGCTCTGACCCATTGGAGGCATTACCTCCTTGGGAGGTTCTTCATCCTCAAGACTGATCATCAGACCCTGAGATGGATGAGAACTCAGTCGGTACTCTTTGATGCTCTCAAGCGTTGGATCGAAGTCATTGAGCAGTATGACTTCGAGCCCCAGTACATCAAGGGTGAGTACAACAAGGTTGCTGATGCCCTGTCGTGCAGACCAGACTTCTCGGGTGCGCTGATCACTGAGTTTGGGTTTGAGGACACTGTTACTCAGTCCATGGTGGAAGCCTATCGAGAGGATCCGTTCATGTCCGAGATCATCCGCAGACTCGAAGCGAAGGACAAAGTGACTTCTGCTGAGTTTGAGTTGGTCAGCGGCTTGCTGTTCCTCGAGAAGCCTGGGAATAAACGTTTGTGTGTTCCTAATAGGGAGTCTTTGCTTAGTTTGTTTTTAGGTGAGTGCCATGACGCCACCGGCCATTTTGGGTACAAGAAGACCGCAGCCAATCTACTGCAGCGGTTTTGGTGGCCCACGATGATGCGAGATGGACAGCTGTGCGTGGAGGCTTGTCAGGTCTGTCAAAGGGACAAGCCTCGTACTCAGGCTCCTCTTGGGCTACTGAAGCCCCTTCCAATTCCGGAACGGCCTGGTGAGAGTCTGTTCATGGACTTCATGGATACTCTGGCCACCAGCAAGAGTGGGATGCGACACATCTTCGTCATCGTGGATAGATTCAGTAAATATGCTAGGTTAGTAGCAATGCCGGAAACAACAAGGACGGAGTATGCGATCAGAATGTTCAAGGAGAACTGGGTTAGGGACTTTGGGTTACCGAAGTCTATTATTAGTGACAGGGATGTCCGATTTACCAGTGAACTGTGGAAGGCCGCTGCTGCAGAGCAGGGAACCCAGTTGCAAATGACTTCTGGGAATCACCCAGAGGCCAACGGCCAGGCCGAGCAACTAAATCGCGTTGTACAACACCTGTTGAGGCATTACATCAAGCCCAACCAGGTGGACTGGGATGAGAAGCTTGCACTCATCGCCAGTCTGTATAACAATGCGGTACACAGTGCCACCGGGGTGAGCCCGAACAGTTTGCTACTGACTTTCAAGCCTAGACTACCCTTGGATTTTCTCCTTCCTGAGAATCAGTTGACTGCTGCACCAGGTACGTTAGAGTTTGCTTACCGCTATGAACAGAAGATGCAGCAGGCTGTAGAACAGATGCAAAAGGCACAGGCGGCTATGATAGAATTTGCGAACAAACACCGCCGTGAGTCTTCATTTCAGGTTGGGGACAGAGTCTGGGTTAAGTCCTCAGAACTGGGACAGGAGCACGGGATCTCCCGCAAGCTCATGCCACAGTACTTTGGACCTTGGTAAGTTTTAGACATCGTTGGGACAGATCCGGATGGCCCACCTTATGTTATCCAGATCCCTGGTCATCTTCAAACTTACCCTGTCTTTCACGCCTCCAAGCTTGCACCTTTCAAGGAAACAGATGAGTTTCCTTCTCGTCGCTCAATGCTGCCCCCAACCATGGATGGAGAAGTGGACATCGATGACATCGTGGATCACAGAGAGCTGCCAGCTTAGAGACCTGCAGGAAGGGGACGTCCTCCGAAACCGAAGCTGCAGTACCCCATTCGGTTCAGACATCATACTGATCCCAAGGAGGACCGTTGGTTCACGAGGGAAGAACTCATGCAGACCGCTCCTCAAGTTGTAGCCCACTATGAGAAATCTCTGCAGAAGGGAAAGCGCCCCATGATTGAAGACTGAGCTTCTCAGAGGACTGTTGAAGCTAAGGAGGAGGGAATGCGAGGCCACTGCCTCGATGGGCCCCATAAGGCCCCATTTTGCAGCCCGTCGGCCGCCCTAAGTGAAGGCAGGCTCGACGAGGCCCTCAGGGCCCTATTCTGGCCACCACGCAACTCGGGGAAATTCAGGCAGTTGCGCAGCGCCAGTTGGTTGAGTGAACCCAGGCCCTGGGCCGCCTGTGTGAATGTATGAGAAGCAGGCCCTGGGCTGGATACGGGTACTGGGCCAAACACAGGCCAAAGGCATTTGGGCACATGCAACCACCTCAGGCCCAAGGCCTGTTCTCGTCGTGCTGGGCCTCA